TTTAATAGACCGGAATACAGAAATCTTGGGGTTTTTTCAGTTTCCTTAAGTTGTGTCCGGCCAATCCATGTTCTTATGATTGTTAGTAGGAAAAACAAAAACAAATAATAAAACTTCAGATTCACACATCAAACCAGAAAGAAAGAGGGAATCAAAAAACAGCAACAAAAAACATCAGAAGCTCACCACTTCCAGTCTAAAAATCTGGCATCTACAACTCCATTTCTTCTTCTGCACACCCAGAGATTCCTGAACTAGCATACGGATCTGGAGACATGGCAGTCTGTTGTGATTCAGGGAATGTTTCAGTCTGTGGGTCAAAAGCAGCTCTTGGTGTTGACTGCTTGGCTTGACACCCTTCTGCACTCTGCTGCTTGAAGTTCTTAACAGAAACAGACTTCAGTTTATCTGTGAGAAATTCAGGAAGAGGTTTCCAAAGCACCAGCTCCATAGAAGGACGGCTCCTAGAAGGGATGGAGTCTCAGTTAAAGCAAGTTCTCCAATCACAACTATTAAATGCAGAAGACCAGTGAGTATCTTCAGCCTTTGTGCCAGCCTGGAACTATATTCCAGAATCCATATACCTTCCCTGCCCATCCCTCCCCCCCCATTAAATTTCCTCTTCCTTCACTAGTTCCATTACTTCTAGTTCTAACCCTGTATTTTCTTTCTTTTCTTTTGCACCAAACTTGACAACCACTGTCGGTCACGTTTCAGGACCTTCTTCTTTTGGAAACACACATACATAAAAATCAAGATATAATGGTTTATTCAACAAATTTCACTCTGTACAAATGAGGAGTATGAAACAGACAGCTTGATGACCACTGTAGTTACTTCTCTTTTACATTAGTATAGTTTTTCCTATTTCTGACCAGGTGAATGGTCTGTTATACAACATTGGCTGCATCATGCAGTAATTAAGGACACCTCCACAAACATGAGACTGAGTCTCTCTTTTCATTTGCATGCATTAGCTACATAGCACCATGATTTCCTCAAGAACTTACATAGATTCTATTATTTTCTTTGTCAGGCCTTCACCAAAATCCCTCTTCATCCCTTTTTTAAGGGTATCTGACAGGATAAGAGTGGGCAGATTGCTAACATTTCCATCAGCATGAACTTCCTCATCTTCATCAATTATCCTAGGAATGGAGGGGGAAGAGGGAGATAAACACTATTGAGCATACTGTTAACAGGCACATCCACCGCAGACTACAGTTATGTCTGCGTGCACTGCATTGTACAGTGTAGATATCTGACCTAGGCCGAGTACCAGAAGCAGTGTGGCCATGTTAACATGAGTCTCTCTTGGGCCAATATACCCTAAGAATGACTGTTACCATTGAAGCCACTTGAGCAGCTATGCCACTTCTGGTACCTGAGCTAGCTTTGTTATCCCTGCATCGTCCAGCAGTGCACAATGCAGGCGTACACCAAGAGAAAATAAATAAATTCACTTCAGGGGAAACTGATTCAGTCACATTACAAGAGTGAGTCTCAGTTATGCAGTAGCTTCACCTGCTCAATTCCCCATATCTTAACTTAACTTTGAGAATTATTGAAAAGCAACTGAATACAGTTCTTAAGCTTTAACAAGGTTGCACCAATTTCTCAGAGATTAAAATGGCACAAAAAGTTGAAACATTTAGAACAAACTGGAGGTTATCTCCTTTGTTTTTGGTAAACCTTTTAAAGAAAATTTAGCAGAGTAGCTGGGAAGGATGGGGAACAATCCTTTGAGAGGTCCAAAGCAGACTTTGTAATGCAGATATAGCCAGATAATAAAGACATATATCACTACTCTGATTTACCCATGAAAAAATAAAATAATCTAACAGTACCTTGCTTCCCTTCACGCATCATCTATGGAGTAATCATCTAAAAAAAAATCTTGTTTTATAAGTTATAAAACTTTTGGCTTTTCTAACAGCTGTCTGCAGTGGTCATTTTGGGTATTTCAGAATACTAGCTCAACTGCAATCAACTGATACATACACGTAACATTCCCAGAAATCTTTCAAAGGCAAGAATGCACAGTACATTTATTATTAAATGATTGCAACAGACTGCCCATAGCCACCCCATTACCTCAATATCAAGCTCTCTGGTATTTAACAGCAAGATGAACCTTAGTCTTATTGCATATATGCAGAGAGATCTCTCTGGTTCATGCTATTCTCTACAATGACAAATTCACATCTATCTTGAGCATTTAGAAGTATTAATCATAGAACAAGCTGCAGCTGGTTAAAAAAAGTTGAGCTCATCTGACCAGGCAACATTGGTTAAAATTTGAGCTCTGGATACTCACAAAAGAGCTTGAAACCCCATTAGGGTATACTGATGCTGCATAATGATTCTGAAAAGGTGGTTATTTATTCAGCATCTTTTGCTCTAGCACCCTCAATTTCAGATCACAGTATCAGCCCCAAGACTCACAGGACCGTAGGTAGCCTAAAAAGAAATCGCTTAAACAGGAGGTTCATCTCAGACTTACAGTAGTGTTATCACATCACTAAGTGCTAGATTTACCCCCTAATGCCCACCAAAAAAAGGGAAAGCTCAGCAAAGCCAGTCTACTCAATCCCTGCATTTACCTGTCCTCAATTTCCTGAAGCTTCCTGCGAGCAACCTCGTATTGCTGTTCCCCCATTGTCTGATCCATTTCTTCACAGGGAATTTCTAACATGGCAGTTTCAGGACAGCTGCCACCATACTGACTTGCTACCTCCCCAGCTGCCTGCTGACCTGCACAGAGAATCCATTCTTCATTGTTGGGATTCAAAGGGCAATTTTTGGCTCCTGTCAGTCTCTTCTTCCGCACAGGACAACTAGGAAATAAAATAAGTTTAAATTTGTCAAAAGAGAAATGTGGCATTCTACAGGAGAAAATGTCATAGAGAGCTATGTGCATGTCAACAGATTGACACACTATGGAAACACAACCTCCACAAAGAAAATAAATCCACATTGCTCTTATTAAAATGTGGGTACCCATGCAAGAAAATCAGTGCTACACAATTAATTAGGTAACTGAAATGGATTTGGGCTCATGTGCAATTCAAGGGAAGAGTTCCAAATGGAAACAATGATAGAAGTTCCCTTCCTGTGTATGTTGTAGCCGAGGTGTGCTCAAATCTTTACAGAAAACAAAAAGCAAATTAAGATTTTTCAGGCTATAAAAGACAAATTCAATTTACCCTTCCGCCTCTTCTTCTAGCTTATGCTTCTTTCCACAGCGAACAGAGACACTGCAAAAGAAAAACAAATGGCTATTTAGCTTCTACTTATATCTTCCAGTGACACTGAGATTTTCAAACACTATTTTCCTCCCTTTTAAAAATTCACTTCAGCTAAGAGTAACAGTCACAGTATGTCATGAGCTGTGAAGGGAATGGAAGTTTTGGACAAAAAAAGACCACTTTGTTCCAAAAGAGTCAGCCGCAATTACTCAGTTCTCTGAGCAGAATTCCATGCTAATTTCTCCTCCTTCACGTTATTTATTTTTTCCACGAAGGGCAAGACCAATTTTTGCTAAAATTCAAATGCATCAAGAAGCAACACATGATCCAACTCCAGTCTCTTAACACATTGTCTCACAGTGACATACTCAAATTAAATATGACCAAACAACATTTTATGGAATACTTTAAGTTTTCTGTGCTCACACATGAAAAGTTAAAAAAAAAAAAAAAAAGTAAAAAAAGTGCATGAGCTTAAAAGCATGTCAAGATGTTGGTAAACTTCATCACATTTCTTTCCTTTTAAAAGGCTCTTTCATCCCCCACCAACAAACTTCAAGGCTGTAAGATGAGCACAATACAATCCTGACACTGTACAAGCGAAACACCACTAGAAGAAAACAAATTATAACCCGCCTTGAAAAGAAAAGTTATTTCGCACTGCCAGTGCAGCCAAGAAATGCGTTCCCTCCTGGTTCTGGCAGCACCTGGTTTTGCACTTACTGGCTGTGACCCTGTGGCAGGTGCAGGCCTTGCGGGTGGGCCGCACTCGTGAAGGAGCCCACCGGGGCGACCGTCAAGCCCTCATTGTAACTTCCGAGCGCAGCCAGGGAGGCAACGTCGAAGCTGCTTTGCAGATACAGGCTGGAGGAACCGCCGCCATCGGCACCATCGCTTCCGTTCCCTGCCATTACCATCACGGGGGGCTGGAGACGGTCGCGGCCCACGGCTCCGGGCTGCGGGTCGTCCCGCGCGAGGGCCAGCGGGCCGTGTCGGTCAGGGGCGGCGGCCGGAGCCTGGGGGAACTCCACGGCAGGACCCACAGGGATGCCCTGACAGGATCTGCCCAGCGCTGCCATTTCCTGCTGCCGGGGAGAAAGAGGACATCAACGCCGCCCCTCCCCACCACCGAGCGGGGCGGCCCCCTTGGGGGGGG